AAAAAAATTATTTCTCTTTTCTTTTCGATTCCTCTCTTTCAGTCTTTCTTTGGCTTGGATTTTATTGATTGAAGCAGTGGATTAGTACTTGCCACCATAATGTGCTTCACTGCACAACATAATTATAGAGAGAGAGAGTAAAAGAGGAAAGGAAGACAATAAAAAAAGAAAGAGTGATTTCAGGGATACAAAAGGGTGTCTGCGCTACAGGTCTCATTAAAGCTGCAGTCAGAATTAATGCTATTGTGCATAAGAGAGACATCTATCTTAGTCCGTAAATGGTTTTATACCATAATTATATTTGCCCTGATGTTTATTAGGTTCAAGTATTGCTATAAACATGTATAAAAAAGGATCGTTGGACTACATTAAGTAGACTCAGGGATATGTGTACTGTCCTGGGCCTCCATAAGGCCGTGTCTCCAGAGGCTGAAGATTACTGGTCTTACCCACAGAATCTGCCTCAAGATCGGACTGAGTGGAAAGTCTATCGGGCCTGTAGCTCTGGAGGTCCGTCCCACAACTTTCATTGACATTCCCACCACTGTCGCTGTTCTGCCGTTCGGTCTTGTCCCTGATTGAGTATGGTGACACTCGGGCAGTTTTGGACTGGTCGAAGCCAAACTTCCTGTTGCGTGAGAGTTCGGCAGCAGCGTGGCTGCTGTGAAGAGGTGTGGGGGTGTGTAGACCCGAGGGCAGCAGAGAAGGGGTGCTGTGAGGGTAACTAGCACTCAGACCGCATTGCTGGGGATAAGCGTAGCCTGGTGCAGGTGGCAGGTATGCAGACGGCAAGGCAAAGGCTGGCGACGGAAGATAGGATGGTTTAGGCAGCAGGTGTTGGCTGCTGTAGGATGATGGGTAATCCTGAGATGTGGGACCGCCGCTGTACTGCTGTTCTGAGAGATCACTTGCGCTCCCCTTCAATGGGTCTAAACCAGGAGGCCCGTCTGTGCTGTACACCCCAGGCCATGGCTCCTGGTGCTGCTCACTTCTTAGGAAACTCCCATGTTCTGGTAAAGCCGAGTTG